TCTTTCACCCTGTGCTCAGTGCACTACGGCTAGCTTGATTATCACTTCAAAAGTTTTTTTTCTGTTAATTAATTTTTTCTCTTAATTAATTGGCCTCTCAGAGGTGGTAAGACAACTCCCACCTGTTTATGCTCTCTGTATGTGTGTATATATATCTCCTCAATATATGTTCCATTCTATATGCATCCGAAGAAGTGGGCTGTAGTCCACGAAAGCTTATGCTCTAATAAATTTGTTAGTCTCTAAGGTGCCACAAGTCCCCCTGTTGTTCTTTTTGCGGATACAGACTAACACGGCTGCTACTGTGAAACCTTTCATTGGGGCACTAATGTCACGCACTAGTGATCTTTTCATCTTTGCCCTTTTATGTCAGGCATATGAAAACACACTAAACTGGTACATGTTGATAATGCAGAAGCAGTACTAACCTACAGCATGGATCAATAAGATTTATTAGCAAAAGTGGCATATGGTCTGCAAAGACACAAGCTACATACATCACTTGGGAAGGAGGTGTGCATATGTCAAAAATCTAAGAGCAGAGAACATACAGTTGCATGAAAACATGCAAGCAAGAGCACAGAGGTGTTGTATCCTTTTTTCTGTTGCTATGGTGAACACTGACTTCAGCATTAGAGAATGACAGGAAGATTGAATTTGACTATGCAATATTAAAACTTGGAAAATGCTGAGAGAATGATCACTGCACATACTGGTCAACTTATACTACTACCGTTAAGCTTTGTTCAGCTTTTACACTGTTTCTTGCCATGTGTTGCTTTAATTCTGCTCTCATTTATACCGTACACCTTCACTTAGGAGTTGTTAAAATTTGAGACTTGCATTGTGAGGCCCCATCTCAGCACAGAAATTGAAGTAGAGATAGGAAGGGTGTTACTTTGGTAACACCCAAAAGATCAGAGTAGTGGGAATGGGTATTTTCTTCATCTTTCTGCAGCTTGGAAATAATATTTAATGAACCAGCAGAGGCTGGGAATGTAGCTATCTGCTCACATGGTGTGGTTGGTCAAACTAAAGCCATGGTAGTCTCTGCCTAGTTGAGATAAAAGTTTGTAGTAAGTGTCAAGTTTGAATGACCTTCCCCTACTTTTAAAGAATTGAAAATGTTTTATTGGCCTGTTGTATAGAATTTAAGCTCTACATGCTAAATAGCTTTGGCCCAGCCTTGGAAGAAAGCCATAGACCTTTTTAAGTTTCACTGAACTATGATAACTATGGATTGAAGAAGTTGCAGTCTACAGCAATGGTAGCAGATGCTTATAAGTTCTGAGCTCAAACTTAAGAAATTTTCAGACTACTCTACTGAACTGACTGCATCTTCTATCAGGTATATATGGAGGCAATTAAACAGACTGCTTCTGCTCCCTAGCTCTCTGGAGCAGTGATGTATAGCCTTTCTGCTTAATAAAACATTTACTTAAAATATTTGTAGCCAATAAATATTTTTCAGGAAAGAATCTTTCCTAAAAGTAGAACTCCCCTGTTAGCTTTTAGGCCAAAAGCTTCATTACTTGTCAAGTTGGAAATAACACACTTTAGACTCTCATTAAAAGATGAGGTCCTTAAACTGTTAATTCAGTAGTATGGTTCCATGTACAATCTTAATTCTGATTGTATATCCTCCACCTAACATGGATTTTTTTTTCTCTCAAACAGTGGAAACACAGAAGGTGGCTACTATCTTTTCTGTGGAAAAGGGGTGAAGCCTCAGCTTTCTTAGCGAATATGGTATTGAGATCTACAGTAAATGTAGCAAGAACACAGCTATAGAAGAGCTCCTATGCTTTAAGTGAGAGTGCAGCTCTTTGTTAAACTCCTTTGGAAGGAAAAAGACCTTGTCCTCAGTGAGTTGGATGGTCAAGGAATGCTGAGATTCATTTATATCAAGTTCGTTTTAACTGGCTGTTTCCTTTATACTGAAAAAAAAATTAAATTCAAATGCACGCAGTCTGAAAAAGAAGGGGCAGATATCTGAGCAGAGGATATGGGAAATCTTTCCTTCCTAACTAAACATCTAGATGCTTCTGTACAGACCTTCATATACCACTAGGGCCCACACCAGACTGCCACTGGTGGAGTTTTAAGTCCTTTCAGATTCATGTAATGAAAGCTATGTAAACAGGCTTGGTAGAGAGTGTTCTATTTAAAAGCAGAACAATTGCTGTAGCTACTGTGCACCCATAGTTGGGCAAGAGTACATTGACAAACATTCTACCACAAGCTGTATGCACAGGCCCAGTATGCTAGTATTGTGGTATTCAGGCAGTAAATAAATTAGTGTGCAGAGATGGATGCTGTTGCAATACTAGTGATTGTGTGCCTCCATGGAAGATCCTCTGGAGGACTGTTTACTGGTAGTAGGGGATTGATGGTAATGATGCTAGTCCGGCTACATACAATGGCAAACTCCAGGCTTGCTAGTCCTGCTAAGTAGGATGCTAAACTCAGAACTAGCAGCTGGAACCCTGTCAATACAGTTATTAGCCTGGACTCTTCACTACATCTTAAGTAAGATGACAGGCCCCTTTAAATATGTGCACAGGCAATATTAGAGCAGTGATCAGGCACTAGCATAGTAGGATGAATTGGTGACTGCAAGTTAATGCCATTGGCTTCATCCAAAGATACAGGCTGATATGGATTAGCTGAAGGGTAGGCAATAGAAAGTTGTGGGAGTAATGGTTAAACCCTTGAACCTTCAGAATGAGTGAGATTCTTTTATCACAGATGTAGCTTCTCCTGACCACCCCACTCCTGCTACACACTTCATGAAGCTGGCATGTACCTGGAGCTATATTAGGCTTTATTGCAGTGCCTCTGCTCCTGCCTTGTACTGCCTCACCTCTTGTTGCCTTGCTATTCAGGCCAGCAACTAATAATGGAGTAGGAAAGCCACAGTACCTTGTCTTACTCCATGCATGATTCTTATGTAACCCTTCTTCCCCATCAGGAATACATTTATATACAAGGGTGCTATGCTGGAACTTGGTGTATTGGACTTTAAAGTCACGGGTTTGCTCAAGGCAGAGATGACAGCTTCTACTGAACGTGTTCCTTTGAGCACCCTTTAAGGTCGCTGTAGCGTTACAGATTTTTTTTTTTTTTTTTTTTTTGAAAGCTGGGGAGTAAACCTGTCTAGTCTCTCCCAGCTGTTGTATGCTAGATTGCTGATCTGCCCCCTCCACTGCCCTCCAGCAGGCAGACCTCCTGTATGCTCGATCTCCCTGAAGCACTTTTGGTTGACATTTGAGGGATGACATCCTCTGGATCTCAGGCCTGCTTAGCTGACTAGTTTGTGTCAAAAGGTACTCCCTACAGGACTCCTCTGCTCCTAGTCTGACCCGCAGAAACGTGAGTGTTTTATACTGCTACTCATCACTATCTATCCATCCAGTGGCAACTACACCAGATAGTTATGTGCTACCTGGAAACTAGGGAGCTTGCCCCATGCAGCTGGCTATTTGAGTCCCTTTTTTTGGAACACCCGTACAATGTCCCCAAAATAAAGATGTCCATTAAGTTGTAGGCTCATAGAATAGCTTGTGAATTTAAGGTTTGGAATAGGAGTATCACTAATCTTAGTTTTTTTTTTTAAATTACTGCAGTGGTCTCCCATCTCTAACAGTCAGGACTTTGAGACCTCTGCAGATTTCTCCAATATTTTACTTGGAATGGCTCAAGATTGAGTTAGGGGGGAAGCCAGAAATGCATCACGAGTTTTTATTTTGCAATGAGTGCAATATTACAGGTAAAACTCAGTTTTATAGTCCCATAGTATACAGAACTAAACAAAGACATTCTACCATGCTGTATGTACTGTACATAAAAACCTGGTCAAGATCTTCAGTGTGAGACTAATACCATAAAGCAGTGCCTTTGCTGTTAGAAGTTGTATTAAGTTTGCATGTATGCTAACAGTTTAGTACTAACATTTACAGTAAGGCAGTGTTACAACCACTTCAACTTCTAAACAATCTCAAAAATATATGATCTCCTATATAAGATAGCAAGCAAAAGGAGTAACGCCATTCATCTTTTAAGAGGTAAAGCACAGCCCTACAGGTTTAAAGGAATAAGTGTCAAGCCAGTTTAGTGCCCTGTTCCCCAGTTTTTTGTTTTTATTTTTAAATAGGCATATCCAGCAGTTTTACTTAAAAGGGAAGACTTCAGGATTGTGCAGGTACAGCCGGCACGAGGATTTCTACTTTATAGCTTTTGCTCAGTTCTCACCTGTAGTACTGCAAAGATCTTCAGCCTGATGAGTTTTATCAAGCTACTAGGTAAGCTTAACTGACCACATTCAACACTTTCCTAGCTGCAATAGCTCGGGAAGAAGTTCTTGTATCTCTATGAATATCGGCAATAGAAGTGCTTCTATTGGAGGTAAGTGTCAAGTTTTTTCTTGATATTGTCAAAGGAGTCTGCTCCCATGTAGTCAGCCTGGCCTTGCTCCCACCTCTCCTTCCGTTCTTCTGAAGATTCAGCTGGTGGGGGAGATGATGGCGAAGTTAGTGCTGCTGCTGAAAGTGACATGTGGGACACTGCCTCTGTAACCTCGTCCTGAAAGGAGAGCATAGTAAGTAGACTATATAAGAGTTATAGGTCCTATTTCTAAGCAAGCAATAGAGGGCTGAGGGTGGGAGAACCAATGAGATGTTCTCATGCAAAGCAGCAAGCACTGTTTGGGGGGAAAAAAAAATGCAGGGTTTATACAACTTTCCTAGCCAAAAAGAAAAATGAACAAATTAAGAAGTCAATGGAGAGCGCACAGGAAAGTACTGGTCAATATCGGTTTAAGTTCTTCATACCTCTCTACAGAAGCCACAAGAGAAAGCCAGAGAATAGACCAAGCCCGATAGCTGCAAATAGTTCATTAGAAAGGTGTAAGATGGACAAGAGAAAGCATAGCTCTAAAACAGATCAGTAACTTTGGGCTTAGAAAGGTTGAGAACTTAAAACTACTTTATTTTCGGTTATACTAAATTTAGTATAAAGTTACTGCAAAGCTGCATTCCATACATGCTATTAAACTCAATGTGTAAAAGATTAAAATAAAGATAGAACGTTGCCTTAACCTATACTTTCCACTTGCTCTACAGATGCAATCTTCCTAGACTATCTTTTCTCCCCTCCCTCCTATAGAGACTGTCAATAACAGCCTGTGGAGTGTCGCAGGAGCACTCCTAGTATGCCAAGTTCTCTTTTAGTCATGCTTATAACCATCTGCAGCCTCAGTCTGAGATGCATGAATATTAGTGCAGTTACATTACTTCTACAGAGTAGCTTCTGAACTGCAAGGCTGATCACACCCATATATCTCACATCACTGTAGTGGTGACCATCATTGCACACACTATCATCCAGGGAGAGATCTTAACCACTGTATGAGATTGCTTGTTCTCACCTAATGTTCAGAATTCAGTTTTGTGATAAGGGGGAACCTCTAACACAGGAGGTCTCTGCTCAATCCTAGTTTTAATTTTAGGCCATTCAGCATCAACATTTTCCTCTTCATCAGTCTTTAGGGAGCATAAAATGGGGGTTCACTCTGGCCAGTAAAGGGTGGGTTACAAGGTATTTCTGTATGGCCTTTTCCACAGAATAGAATCATTTCCGGAATATCTGGAGTAAATCTTGATATTCAGTAAAAATTCAGTATTTTGTTACAAAACAAAAATCCTTTTAAAAAAAGATAAGGGGGTTAATATTTCTGCAGTGTTAGCAGAACTTCGGTATGAGAAGTAAATGGAGACAAAGTTTAGTCTCACAGGTTCAAGCACTTTCCAACTTGGGATGTGTGGACTTTGGAAAGTTAGAGACATTTAGTTCAGCATATTTGGGAACACCTGTTGTAGAACTATTTGAATTTAATCTGGTGAGCTTTAAGCTGGTTAACAGCCAGATAATTCCTATTAGTTAGTACAAATGTTAGGTTGCTACAAATTACTTAAGGACTTCAGGATCCTGACTCCTTGTTTTGTCATACAACATTTTTGTTTGGGTATTATCTGTGGGGACTGACCCCCAAAACAATGAGCCTTTACTGCTTGAGCTAGAAGACCAAGTCTGTTCGCTTGAAGTCAGTGAGAGTCAGGGCTCTGTATGTAGTTGGGGAGGAAAAAATTTACCCCCGTTTGATTTCTACACCATTGTTAATAGCCACTTTTGCAGTTCACAGTACACCTCTACCCCGATATAACGCTGTTCTCGGGAGCCAAAAAAATCTTACCGCGTTATAGGTGAAACCACGTTATAGCGAACTTGCTTTGATCCACTGGAGCACGCAGCCCCGCCCCCCCGGAGTGCTGCTTTACCGCGTTATATCCGAATTCGTGTTATATCGGGTCGCGTTATATTAGGGTAGAGGTGTAGTTATTTAGAAAGGGAGGTGAGTAAACAGTTACACCAGTGACCAGACCAACCCAGTTATTTCCTCTGTTCTACTTTATTTCAAGTCTTAAACAAGGAGTTGAAAAAAAGCTATGCTTCAAGTCAATGGATTCTCCCTGAAGCCTTCAGTAATTTGAAGTCTGGGATGGGGGAAGTACAGAACATCCGCATTTAGAATGTTTCAATACAGGTATCTAAGATACAAGATGATGACATACCGCCTTTACACCTGTAGTGGCGTCTTTAACAATACCATGTTGTTCTAGTAGGGGTAAGATGTTGGTGATGAAGGTATGCCACCACATGTTGAGGAATTCTGGGTGAACCATTGTGGGATCACTTGTGTCACCTTTTATGCTTTTGGTTTTAGAGTCATATGTGTAATTCCATGGTTTCATTCTTCCTAGGAAATGCACCACTTTAGCATTTGAACCAAACCTGCCAAACAAAGGAATTTGAATTAGATACCAGATGTCCAGGAAAAGTACATACATGATAGGTTTTTCTTTAGGAGATGGAATGCTAAGAAATTGCAACTGCCTACTGGCACTGAAAGCATCACTATGCAAGAGGAGAATGCAGATAGACTTCTACCTCAAATAGCTTATGGAGATTGAAAATAGCCAAAACCTACTGGTTTGGGCCATTTCAGTACTTACAGCAGCCAGTCTCTTGGTAGTTTGGTGTCCAGGAGAGCTCAGGATCGAACAGTCTCAAGCAGCAGTTGCAATCAGAACAAGTTTTAAGAGTGAGAGTTTCCACTACAGATTCAGTGATCCAAATAGCTAGACACCATACACTTAGCTAATCAGCCATCAGTGATAAGATCACTGGTTTTTTAGTCTTCAGCCCTACAGAAGGGGAGGTTTGAGTTGGTCAGAATATCCAGCTTCAGAAAGCTTCTGCCACTGCAGCGGATAGTTCAGGCATCCTTGAAGGATACAGTCTGTCTCACCTGCCATGGTGAGACTGCATGGAGGTGTTTTCATGATTCTTCCCCCCCCATTGCTGCCTTGACAAATTTCTTTCTTCAAATACATGGCTGTTCAGAACCCTTAAAATCTTGGCTCTCCAGGTAGATCAAGAATGTCTGATTACACTTAGTTTTTATGGAAGGGTTACATAAATCATCATGCAGCTATAGTGAGTGTACTTTTTAAAGTCCCTTTACCTTGCTAGTAGTAGTCTAGTAGGATCAGAGAGCCCACCCCAGTGAACTCTTGGTGTTACATTGCTATAGACTTTGCCTCCACTCCGAGTATGAGTTAGGGCTAGTCTACACTGGCAATGCTAAAGCGCTGCTTCAGCAGCACTTGAACGTGGCTTGTGTAGTCTAAAAAACACCCGCCTCCATGAAGGGCGTAGCTCCCAGCGCTGGTGCACTGTTTACACTGACGCTTTACAGCACTGAAACTTGCTGCTCTCAGGGGAATGTTTTTTCACACCTGAGTGAGACAGTTGCAGCGCTGTAAAGTGCCAGTGTAGACAAGCCCTTAGAGTTTCTAGCCCTTCTGGTTGCAGAGGAAGCTTTCTATCAGGAACCTAGTCAAGCAGTACGCTGTCTTCTCAAGTCTGCAGGCAGAAATCTTCCCAATGGTGAACTGCCTCATTTTCATTTTAGTGAAAACTTTAAATCAGTGGTTTTTGATATCCATATTCCCCATTTCACTTCTGATCATGTCAGCAGAAATCAGATCATTCAACAAGCCCAGGTTACCTTCTCGGATGCCCTGGCTCTCTCCTCAGCAGCTGGGAAATACTCCCAGTTTCCTCAGCTCTTGGGGTAAACCTAGCTCCATTGAGAAGATATGCAGCATGTTAAAAGTTTAGTGTTTTGTGGTAGTTTAAAAACTAAATTTTATTAAATTGTATGTTTTCATGTGTCAACATAAATGTTTGAAAGTGATGTGAAGCTATTGTATGATCAGCAGGAGGAATCTTGCTGCCAGAGTTTAGGTCAAATTCACTGTTAAATACAAGGAATATACAAGAGATTGCTTTGAAGAACTTCGTTTTCAAGCTTTAAGTGCAGTGCCCGAGTGGCTAAGGGATCAGAATAAATAGCCAAGTTTAGTTTTTAAGCTAGTCAAGACCATTTTAATGGATTTAAGACAAGTCCATTATGTCCTCTTGAGGGTCAGTCAATTGGATCTGTTTCAGGGTAAGTCTACGCTACATCGGACCTAAAGAGAATAGAAACAAATAATGTGCTTTGCACGTTCTTGTCTTTTGTTGTTTCTTTTGCTTTTTTGGTGTTTTTTTTTTAATTAAAAAAAAAAAAAAGAACTAGCTAGCAAGTCTGTTTCTGTGAAAATTGATATTTGTTTGTTAACATTGCTTTGCCCCCTCAATCACTGCCCAGGAGGCTGTGGCTGCACAAAAAGCCCTTAGTGGCTGCATGTACCTACGGTGGCCGCATCTGAGAAACACTGGTTTAGGCTGATCCTTCCTGTTGTGTGAATAAGATTAGGCTTGTAAAGGAAACTGGTCTTCTACAATAGTTACACTAGCACATTCCATGCATTCCTGGATTGTTCTCTGCTGCCACTCATTTTGGAGTCAGTCAGGATGAAAGTGCCTTTATTTTCTATAGAAAACTTAAGTATGTTCAAACAGATTGCAGTCACTAGTTGTATTCCTTCCCCCCCTCCTCCCCAAAAGCGGGGGTACCCAGCATGTAAGATTGCAGGTGTGAATCTTAGCCTCATGGTACAGAGACTCTGAAGGATTAGATATTGATGTCAGAGTAGGTTTAAAGTTTGGTTCATTACAACTATTGAACTGTGTCTAGTGGATGTGGGCATCTACATCAAAAAGATGTTCGTTTAGAATGCCTACTCTGACAGCCCACGTGTTACTTGCAAAATCCAGAAACCACTAGCTTTAACAGCTCATTATGTGCATCTAACTCCGTTCGGTTTGAAGGAAGTTTTTGCCTGGGCCAGGCAGATCCAGCTGACCTCTCATGGCAAAATCAAGGTCAATTATAAAGTTTTTTTGCGACATGACTAATTTCAGCAAGGGAGTAGCTGAGGAGACTATTGTGTACATCACAATAGCTTTCAGCTTACTGAATGCTGTTTATTCTGACTACTCAGTAGTGAGTATTCACTCTGGCTTGCATGTATTTCTTCTTAAAATAAGCGTTCTAATTTTAACCTGACAATATTTCAGATGTTCAGATCACAAGACATGGTTTGAACTTGAGCCAGCAACAATACTGCTTATGTTAGCTGCTGCATTAATCTCTAGCAACATGATGTCATCTAAAGATCACTTGGCGTTTTCATGCAATTGCTCCTCACTTGCTTTTGAAGCAAGTTAACATGGCCCAGTTGTAATAAAAAGATCGTAAATTGCACCCATATTTGAATAGTTTTACACACTTTATGCTGTAACAATCCTAGAGTTTAGATCAGAATTAGGCTGGTAACACAAAGTACCATTACATGGGAAAAACGTTACCTGAAATGGCAGGGACTTGCCTTTGTGCTCAGAAGGACAAAAACAAGCTTTGTTATTTGCTGCCCTAGAAGCTGGCTATTGCAGGTTTAGGAAGATTGCTGTGAGGTGGAGTGTAAGCAACAGAGGAAAAACCTCATGTTTGACACCCAGGTCTGCTTATTTGCAGGACATGACTGTCCCTGCAGCATTTTTGTTTTGAGTCAAATATTTATGCCACCGATGACAGCCCCCAAAAGGGGCAACCCAATAACTACGCTTGTATCATGATTCGTTTTAGTAACAGGCCAAAAAAGGAGAGAAATTATAATCTATATAGATGTTGTCACCATACTCAGCCCACATTGTCTTGGGCTAAACCTCACTCAACCAAACTCTTTAGCAAGGACAACAGCAGTGCAGATAATGCCTCTTTGGTCACAGTAGTATACCTGTGATTAAAAGTGTGTTGAGTTGTACTCTTGCAACAGAACAGGTCCTCGGCAAATGCACCTATGCTAGGTAAATTAATTCAAAGAATAAGCTGCTGCTACTGACAGAGGTAGTTTAGGTCACAGACATGTAAAGAATACTTCCATTTTAATTAGTTTTTTATCTAAATTAAACCATTACATGGTTCAAAGTGAAATTAAGAGATTGCACTAGCTATCACATACCGTTCATTTGGCCTAACCTTGGATCTCCACACTGAAATTGAGTCAAAGAACTGATTTTATACAGCCTTTTCATCATCTAGTAAGAGATGGGTCTGCTTCACAAAAGCTCTAGTAAATTTGGCCTGTATAATGGCTATACTAGATTATGAATAATTTTTCTACAAGAAAATGTTGAACTTACGCTTTAAATGCTGGGAGGTAGGAGTATAGAGAAATGCTGCTTAAGTTATAAATAAATGGCAAGTGTTTGTTGATATCTGTTGTTGCCCAGCTGCTGAAGAAGGTGTTTAATAACCCCTGGTCCCCACCTGAAAGAGAAAGATGGAGAGTTAACAGGCTGCATGAACACAATCAGTATTCCTGTTTTAAGTTTCTTCACTAAATCACGGATTCAAGACTCAGTTTAGTCATGTGAGCTAGCACACCCAGTAGGAATCAGCAATACAGTAGCATTCTATTTATAGAAATTAGTTTTCTTAAACTATAACATTTTCACCATTGGGAGGGCACATTAGCCCTCTTCCTCTTGCCAGAGGCAGCTATAGATTTGTAAACTTAAGTCATACTTTAGGCTATTTTACCTCCCAGAAGACAGCCAAAGGCTTAGAATCCCTACTGGTATAATTTACATGTGAACATGCATTTGGTCTTGCATGATGCAACTCAGTTTCCATTCACAACTGGAAGTTGAGTTAAACTGGAGTAGTAAACATTGGAAGTGTCAGACTTGTTATTCCAGTTGCAGTGAGGCAAATACAGTAGACTAGATTATGATCTGTCACTCCATGTTTACACATGTAACCAAGATAATTCTGACCACCGGTTGATTATTAGAAGCCCACATGTGGCTCAGCAGTCCTGTACATAATGAAACTGCTTTTTTCAATCAAGGACTGATGGTTTGCTAGAAGCAGTGTAGGCCTTAATTACATTTTCTGAGAGATGTCATACTAGAAGTCAACTATATTAAAGCTCCTAGTTAGCTTCATAAGCTTATGTGAAACTAGAAGTTTTATGTTTCAGTTGATGCATACAATAGGTGTTCAGACCCCCATGTTGAATGTAGGCTAGTTTACAACAGCAGAAGTCAGTGAATGATTGCCTGCATGCAGAGCCATTATGACATGTGTTTTTCTAAGAGACTTGGAATGCTGAACAGAATGTAGGAATTTGACGAGAACGTGGATTAGTCAGACTTTGCTTGTGTTGTTCACCTTGACATTTGTTCTTTACTTACAGAAACAGCCTCAGCACTTTTCCAGACCAAGAACTACGCAAGCTCCCCTCTAACTCTTTCTGTTTTAGGACATGATATGCTATTCTGAATTTGATCTTATAATGTTGATAAAGAGTAGACAGCTTTGACACACAAGTGAGATTCCTGATATATGTTTTTGGATTAAGGTAGGATTAAAGTTATTGTATTACTACTCTCCCCCCATTGTTAGTATGACTAACAATTCCACTATATTTATGCCAGCCAGCCAGGGCAAAAAAGGTGTATAAGAAACCAGACTATCACTTGTCAGAATGAAATCACCACTAGCAGAGCCAAAAGGTAAGATAAAACAATTCTGAAGAAATCATGGCAGTGTTTTACTATTAGCTTTTTGCCAAGCAGCCAATTGATACAGCAGTAAGTTAGAAGTGACATGTGTAAGGCCCTACCAAATTCAGTCTATTTTGGTCAATTTCACGGTCATAGGATTTTAAAAATAGTAAATTTCATTATTTCAGCTATTGAAATCTGAAATTTCAGTGTTGTAATTGTAGGAGTCCTGACCCAAAAAGGAATTGTGGGGGGATCCCAAGGTTATTGTGTGTGTGGTGGGGGGGAGGGGGGGGGAAGTGGTACTGCTACTCTTACTTCTGTGCTGCTGGTGGTGGTAGCACTGCCTTCAGAACTGGGCAGCTGGAGAACAGTGGCTGCTGGCCGGAAGCCCAGCTCTGAAGGCAGAACTGCTGCCACCAGTAGAAGCAAAATGGCATGGTACGGTATTGCCACCCTTACTTCTGCGCTGCTGCCTGCAGAGCTGGGCCCTCAGTCAGAAGCTGCCACTCTCCAGCCTCCCAGCTCTGAAGGCAGCAGTTCAGAAGTAAGGGTGGCATGGTATAGTACTGCCAACATTCTGCGCTGATGATGATGGGGTGCTGCCTTCAGAACTGGGTGCCTGGCCAACAGCTGCCACTCTCTGGCTGCCTGCACTGAAGGCAGCGCAGAAGTAAGAGTGGCAATACTGCAGCCCCCCCTAAAATAACCTTGCAACCCTCCCCACAACTCCCTTTTGGGTCAGAGACTCAGGACCCCCAGTTTGAGAAACACTGGTCTCCTCTGTGAAATCTGGCCTTTTGTGGGCTTTACCCTATACTATACAGATTTCAGGGGGAGAACAAATTTCATGGTCCGTGACGCGTTTTTCATGGGTATGAATTTGGTAGGACCCCAGACATGGGGTAAATTTGAGAGAGCACAGAAACTAAGTGAGTTTGTCATCCGATGTTGTTAGGAAAGCTCTTCCAAGTCAAGAGATATGCAACTATTACTATATGTTGGGAACTTGCATGCCTTTATTTTGTAAGACTTCTACCATATTAGAAAGTGTCTCTGCATCTAAATGTTTGAGATGCATATTCCTATGGTGTTTTACCAGCTGAACACATCTTAATACAGTTCTGTTACAACAACAGTTTGAGGTAGAGGAGCCAGACCTCCCATGTTTTGTGTTGGTCTGTAAGTTTAGACTAAGTGATTCTACTATCCTGAGTGATTGTTTGGAATAGATTTGCATGTAGACATAAAGAACAGCTGTAAGTTTTGCATCATATAACTAGTCCTCCTGCATAGTACAGGTTACTAAATTCCTCCCAAATACCATCATCCAATACTTCCTCTCCACTGCATATTCTTCGCTCCTTATGTTATGACTGTTTCAGTGTCCTAGTCTTACTGAAACCAAGAACCCCTCCGAACCCACCAAAGTGGAATGCCAGTTCAAGTTAGTGTTGTATAATAATTGTGCAATATGCTACTACAGTTGCAGGTATAATCAATACTTTAGCATCTTACATCTACATGTTGTTTTAGATCTGAAACTATTAACTGCTAGAATACCAGCTTGGATCCCATGCTAGAAGAAAATCTAGTAGAACCAGTTTCCCTTGCACTCCTATAAACTATAAGATAGGTAGACTTTTTATTCTAGCTAGTCTTGCTTTTAAATTCATAAAGCCCCAGGTTTTTAGAAATTTGCTAGAAACACTGAAGTCTTGTCTAAGGCAAGCATCGGACATTCCAGTTACGAAGTTGAGTTTCCCTTCTCCTTCCCCATTAGATACAGTAGCGTGGACCAAGATTACGGCAT